CCCATCTTCTGTTGAGCTTCAATTGGTAGATTGAACAAAATTTCATGATCAACTTTGGAATTAATTTTTCCGTTGATGATAGCAACCCTTCCAGGCATGAGGCAGCAAAGCACCTCCAAAACCATGATTCCCCCTCCACCATACTTTACAGTTGGGATGAGGTTTTGAGGTTGGCGTGCCTTTTTTACTCCACACATAGGGTTGTGTGTTTCTTCCAAACAACTCAACTTTGGTTTCATCTGTCCACAGAATATTTTGTCAGTAGTGCTGTAGAACATCCAGGTGCTCTTTCGCAAACTTCAGACAGGCCGAAAGGTTGTTTTTGGACAGTACTGAACTTTTCCCATATGTAGACAATTTCTCTCACCGTGTAATGATGAACATCAAGGCTTTTAGAGATACTTTTGTAACCCTTTCCAGCTTCATGCAAGTCAACAATTCTTAATCTTAGGACTTCTGATCGTTCTTTTGTTTGAGGCATGGCTTCATGGGAATAGCAAAATTAAAATTGATGTGTTTTTTTTATAGGGCAGGGCAGCTCTAACTAACGCCTCCAATTTAGTCTCATTGATTAAACTCCAGGTTGGCTGACTCCTGACTCCAATTACCTTTTGGAGAAGTCATTAGCCTAGGGGTTCACATACTTTTTCCACCCTGCATTGTGAGTGTTCACAGTATGTTCAATAAAAACATATAATTGTTTGTGTGATATTAGTTTAACCAGACTGTGGTTTTCTATTGTTGTGAGTTAGATGAAGACCTGATCACATTTGATGACCAACTTATGCAGAAATACAGTTAATTTCAAAGGGTTCACATACTTTTTCCTGTGGACTGTATGTAGCGATTACCTGGAAGGAATTGAATAAAAGATATAAAGTGTATTTTTTGGCTAAATGGAAGCTATCACTATATTGATGATACATAATTATGATTTGAGGGAATATGCATCGTTGAACTAATTAATGAAGGATTATCAGAGATGTATTGGCTAAAAAGGTACACATGTACTTGATTACTATGTAAAGATGTATATAGTTAAGGTGGACAATATGTGCTTTTTTTTTCTCGTGGCATTTTTGGATCTAGCCTCTCTAACTCACACGATCAAGATTAGCTAGGCACTCTCCAATATGCTGTTAGCAGTCAAATTATTCCAATGATGCTCAAAATTCACTGAGTGTATCCCACATGAACATCAGGACAGCACAAATGTCCATGGTTATCTGTTTTAAAGTGGGGGTTTTTACTAACACTGAAGATTGGAGTAACTGCTGTTCAGTTGAAGAATACATCTGGTGATTTTCTATATTTTCATTTCACAACAAATCCCATGACTCAAACCAACACCAAATGCATCTACTAACATGTACTGTGGTGATGTCTCTTCTTCCTCTGAGCCATAGAGAACTTTACTGTTGCACTCGTGAGATCAGCATTCATCACCATGAACACAAACACTGTAGCTTGTGCTCACTCATTCTCACATACACTGTCCTGCCGCCGCAAATACTCACTAGAGCACCACATGTGGATTAATTTGCTGCTGACAATAGTCCCTAACAGACGCTCTTTTTCCTCCTGTTTGAGTAACACTTCTTAAAAAGTCTTCAGTAGGAACCAATATGCTTGGAGCTGAGAGCCTCAGACAGGGTAGGGGACTCATAGAATATTCAGGGCTGGACAAAAAAAAAACGTATAAACAAACATTTTAATAACGCTTACGCAGCTTTATCATTCAATGTGAATACGCATGAGTTCTCTGCAACTAAACTCTAAATATTGATTGGAGAAACCAATAAACATACTTCATAACTGCTACCAAATGGAATGCTTCTATGTGAAGACATAGTCCTCGACAAAAACACCAGTGAAAAAATTCAAAGGTTTTCTGGGTTAATAAAAGGTATATTTGGGTGATTTTTGATGGTTTAATCACAGAATAAACCACATGCACACCTCAAATAATCAGTTATGTAATAAGTATTGGCTACTTTGATCATAATGTGTAGGACCGGTCCTGCTCTGGCTGTAATTGGGATGGAAAAACAATCATGTCTGTATCCTGAGAATTTCTGAGTGCATTTTACATGAGCAGAGGATAAGGTGCCAGCTGCTCAACAATAACAGAAACTCATTCATACACCAATGGAACAGCCATCAGGAGCAATTTGGGGTTTAGTGTCTTCCCTAAGGACCCTTTGACATGCAGACTGGGGGAGCTGAGGATCAAACTGCCAACTTTCAGTCCAAGTGGACTCCCACTCTAACCCCTGAGCCACAGCCGCCCAATGATGAAGGTCCCCTAAGCTTAGTGAAATACTTATTTTAACCCAAACTACAATGTTTCCCTAAACCTAAGCAAGTTACACAGGTTCCATGTTTAGTGTTCTCTTTGAGAGCTGATGTAATGTTGATGAATAATTTTTTCTTGTTTAGAAGAACCTGCTGGTACTTGGGAACTGAAATACACAACTTGAAGTTGACTCTGATGCTAAAAAAACTGTGGCACTTGCTATCAGCAGCAATCAGCATAGAAATGAAGAGGGCCACATTGAAATGCAAGGCACAGTGTTCATGTCTCTCTGCTGACAGCTCTGCCTGTCTCTTCTCCTCTGTATCATCACTAGGCCATTCAGTCTATGTTAGACACTGACATACAGGATTCCTTACATGCATCATGTATAAATTATTGTATGATGTATATGTAGCAGATTATGGTTTCCTTCATTTTTTTCCTCCTGCTTGTGTAATTTAATTGTTCTCTGGTGCTCTGATTACTGTGCAGCACTGTTTTGCGCTATATTTAGGGAGTATGACTGCTGTCTTGCTGTCTCTTCATGGATTCAGAATGCGGGGTTGTGGCGTTGTCCACAGTTTGGCGTGGCAGCTTTAGGTACCATGCCTCCTCGCATGGGACTTCCAGTCACTGAGAGGAAGGCTGGCTAACCTTCTGGAGGCCCTGCTTCTGAGCCTTGGATGTGCACGGCTTTGTTAATGCGAGGGTTTGAGCTGCGGCTTGACAGCTCTCACTCCTCCCGGTGTTATGAAGCTGCGCTTCTGCTCTTTGGCTGGTAAACCAGGCTCCGCATCATGGTGGGTTACCATGCTACGTTTCTGTCCTCCACTTCCCAGCGCAGCCGTGGTTCAGTTTCTACTGCTGTTTTGTCCGCCACTGTCATGTTTTTAGGGTTTTCTCCACTGCTCCTACAGTCAGGTTTCAATGGAGCTGTCTCCTGACTGTATTTTTATTCTACAGTTATTGAGTGGTTTCATAGTTTTCCCTCTGCTGCCCTGAAATTGTGTTTTTGTGGCTTCACTTCAGCTGGCTGTAGCCGAGAATTAACTGAATTAATTCACCCAGGACACTGGAAATAGTAATGTGTTTTCCAATTGAGATATACAGATCATTCTTTGGGGTCTGTTTAGTATTTAATTGTATTATGTTCTTCTGTTTGTGCATTGATTTGGAGAATGTATTATTGTTCTTGGGAATTTAGTGTTTCTTCTAAATTAAATTTTTCTGGGGTTCCGTTGGTCGACTATGTGTGTGTCTGGGTGGGTGGGTGTAAAAAAAAATACACCTTCTGTAGTGGCTCAGTCAGTCCTGACCTCAATCCAACTGAGATGATGTGGCATGACCTCAAGAAATCGATTCACACCAGACACCCCAAAAATATTGCTGAACTGAAACAGTTTTGTAAAGAGGAATGGTCCAAAATTCCTCCTGACCGTTGTTCAGGTCTGATCTGCAACTACAGGAAACGTTTGGTTGAGGTTATTGCTGCCAAAAGAGGGTCAACCAGTTATTAAATCCGAGGGTTCACATACTTTTTCCACCCTGCACTGAACTAAACTGAATGTTTACAGAGTGTGTTCAATAAAAACATGAAAACACAATTGTTTGTGTGGTATAATTTTAACCAGACTGTGTTTGTCTATTGTTGTGACTAAGTTGAAGATTAGATCACATTTTATGACCCAAAAAGCAGAAATCTAGATAATAAATAATAATAATAATAAAAAAGGGTTCACATCTTTCTCCTCAATTGGATGTCATATTACTGTCAGAAAGTTATACAGCTCTCAGTGCTGGGGGTAAAAGAAGGAATAAAATCAACTCAGTCTCACTCCCAAGTGTGTAGTGTGTATATGTAACAGGGTTGTCTTTAGGACCCTGTCTGTCTCTCTCTCCCTTGCACCCTACTACTGGTTGTAGGATATAAAAGTGTAGCCGGGAAGGTTATTTAGGGGCACAGGTAACTTCCGCTCGCTCTTTCCTCTCATGCTACAGTCAGCATGTAGGATAGGGGCAGCACCCCGTGTGACGCAGAGCAGAGGAACACCAAACATTTGAGGGCAAACTCAGACTACTGCAGTAGATGTTGTTGAGGAGGAATTCGACAGATTTGCTTGTAAGATTTTTCAGAAATTAAACATATTTTTCGCTAGAATTCAATACAATTTAAGTGTAGCAAAGTGTAACTATTTTCTTTTTATATTAAAGAGGTGGTATTGTGCTTTTTGGCTTTTCCCCTCTCCTTTGTTGAGTTATATACCTTTTTTGTGCATGTAATAGGTTTGCAAAGTGAAAAAGCCCAAAGTCCAGCCCAAAGGGAGTTCCCATCTCCCACAGAAAGCTCTGCTCTGAACTGCCTGAAAACAGCTCGTTTGTAGGCCGCTTCCCTTTCATCCCTGTCACCTGTTGCGGTCACTTTCATTTGCACCAAAGCAAGTGACATTGATTCACAATCGCATATTTTTCCAAATTGCTTCCTAAGATTGATTGACTTGATGTCATACTGTGATGATTAAGTATTCCCTTATTTTTTGAGCAGTGTATACATCATATTTTGAGTTAGGTGGCTGTTTGTTATTTCATGTCCTCTAAAATAACATATTTAATTTACCATTCTTACACTCATCTCTACGTTCATGTTACATGAACTACGTTACTCCTAAACAGAATTAAGTTAAGTGTTGTAGTAAGCATGGACTACCTTTGTATGTTGGGTTTGCGTGGGGCCATGTGTGTATGTCCTGGTGGTGGGAGGTGACCCCAGAAATCAGGGAAAGCCAGGATGCTGAACCCTGGAATAGATTTGGTTTTGGCGGCTGCAGCCCGGTATAGCTTGGGTTCATGGTGGGGTATACAATCTCTGTGTCTCTCCAATAACTTGTCGATCATCGTACGATGGTGGGATTCTTCTGCTCCCCTCTCTTCATCATCAAGCTCATCCCCTCTCTGAGCTGGGGGGGCTTCTTCCCTATGGGGCAGAAAACAATAAGTTCAGATTGCTAGGATAGGAAATCAAAAGTAAACAGGAAGTAAGAGAGGTGAAACTGTTACATTGAATAAAATGACAACATCAGAAAACAAGAAAAGGTCAGATTGATGGAAATAGTGTGACATTATTTCTGGAGCACAGAGAAAGGAAGGATAAAGACGGGTAGCTGTTGTGTGATAAACACGTAATAAGACTATAACAGACTGACTGGCAGGTGATCCTAGGGTGAAGGTCAAACTACGCAAGGAGAGTTCTTCAAAGAAGGCTAGTGCACACACAGATCACCTCTGCACCTGCTGCAAACCACCATGGAATTACATACAATTTTTTCCCCTCTTATATTTCTATAATTGTCTTTTGTGTAGGACTAACCAAATGTGTTATTAACACAAATGTACCATGATTAAATACAGTTAATATAACAACATACTGTAAAGGTGAAGCACAAACATCAAATGTAGAAACTGACTGGCAAAATAAAATAAATTCAAAATTCAAAATTCAAAATAAAATATATTGTGTTCAGCGGAAAAAAGTTGATGTCTTTTTACCTAGACATTTTAAAAATATTTTAGGTAATATTATCAGGAAAGACTCCATAAACTTTAGTTGTTACGCAGATGATAATCAAGTATATCTACACTCCAGCGTCCCTTAAGGAGTTATGTGTTAAGTTATTGTACTTGGCCCGAAACACCTGAGACACATTATCTACAGACATAATTACTCTGGATGGCATCGCCCTGGCCCCCAGCACCACCATGAGAAATCTTTAGAGTTATTTTTGATCAGAACATGTACTTTAGCTCCCACAAAACTTAAAGGACCGCCTTTATTGCACCATATTTAATATGCAAAATTCAAGAACATCCTGTCTCAAAATGAGGCAGAAAATCTACTCCGCATTTTTAATTCTAGGCTGGATTACTGCAGTTCCTCATTATCAGGCTATCTGAATAAGTTTATTAAGACTCTCCATCTGATCCAGAACACTGTCAGTACAAGAGATCTTCTCCTGTTTTAGCTTTTCTGCACTGGCTCCCTGTAAAATCCGGAATATAATTTGAAATCCATTTGCTCACCTACAAAACCCTTAATAGTCAGGCACCATTAGGCCACCAGAACACTGCACTCCCAGAATGCAGGGTTACTTGTGGTTGCCAGAGTCTCCAAAAGCAGAATGAGGGCCACAGCCTTCAGCCATCAAGCTTCTCTCCTGTGGAACCAGGTTCCAGTCTGGGTCCATCTCCACATTTAAGAGTAGGCTTAAGACTTTCCTCTTTGATAAAGCTTATAGTTAGGGCTGGTTCAGGTGAGTACTGAACCATCCCTTAGTTATGCTGCTATAGGCCTAGACTGCTGAGAGACTTCCCATGATGCACTGAGCTCCTCTCTACAAACTCACTAACTTGACTTCTTCCCTCTCCTGTTGTGATTTTTCTACCCTCTCCTCTTTCCTGTCGCTTTTTGCAGGTGTTGCTGGCTCCAGAGCAGTAGAGTATGGTATGTGGTATCTAACTATTATTCATTTATATTGATGTCTGTGTCTGGGTCACTACCACCTTTACTGATGTTTTGCTTTTCTGTGTGGATATTGTTTTGGGCTGCTTCTCTCTCTCGCTCCCTCTCTCGCTCTCTCTCTCTCTCTCTCTCTCTCTCTCTGTTGAATTGAACTGAAAATACTACAAATGAGCTTATTCACTGAATGGAATTGAAGGCAGAACACAAGATAAATAATGGCACAAATCATTATTGACGTTCTATTCTATTCTTCAAGGTATATCATAATGTTCTGATTAATATGGTGATTTTTACCATAGGATAATATGAAGGTGATGCAATGAATAGTTTATTTTAAAGGAACTGACTGAGGTCATTGTCATTTCTTTTGAGTTTTGAGATTATACTTCCTTTCATCATTGTTACAGCTTGACAAACACTGTCCAAAATACATGCAGAGAAAATAGAGAGTTCAGCATACCTTGCCTCTCTAACCATGGTCCTAAGGCTGGGGCTGGTGCAGAGGATGCTGCTGTGACTGTGGAAATCACGGGCCTCTAATTGCACAGCAGCTGGAGAGAGAGAAATAGAAAATAGTGCATTTGAATTCCCACTTGTTTAGAATAAGAGGAAAATAACAATGCTGTGGTTTTTAAAAGAAGGTAGACTTGTGTCAATATAAACTAATCTATGATGATTTTTTAAATATACAGTGGGTTTCCTATAACGCACATGTGAGTTTGATTAGTAAGAAGTGATTCATAAATTTCCCAGAGGAGTTGCAGATGGCTTGGAGTTGAATAGAATGAATTAGCTTGTGATCAAAATAATCTGCCTGCTTGTGTTTGGGTGGCTTGATCCTGATGTGACAGCCATCTGTGGCCCCCACAGCCTTATCAAATGCTTGATGTGACAGTCTTCCAAATCCTCTGCCAACTTCCTCAATGCTGTTTAGATGAGGGGAAACAATTACCTTGCCCTTTTCCTTCGAGATCTCCCTGGCATTTCTGTCCGCCACCCTAAACATGGTTGATTTGCGCACAACAAAAGCCAAACCACTGACATTCTGAAGTCAGCCTTCAGTTCTCGATCCATATATGTCCACAGGACTGGGACATTAATATTCAATTCAAATCTATAGCGCCATTTCATAACAGAAGTTATCTCATTGCACTTTTCATATACAGCAGGTCTAGACTGTACTCTTTGTAATAATATTTACAGAGACTCAACTCCCACGATGAGCAACAACTTGGCCATAGTGGCAAGGAAAAACCCTTTAAACAGGTAGAAACCTCGAGTAGAGCCTACACTGCAATGTATAAAGAAACATCAGATTAACTAGTTAAGAATTGTAGCCAAGATCAAATGCTGCTTGAGGGACATTTCAAGATTTATTGAACAAATAAATTATGTACTTATTTCTTATTATTTGCACAATTTCTAATTGTTCACCAGTTATTCATCAAAATACATTTCTCAAGATACTGCAACACATTTCTGGTATATGCCACTTGACAGTAGGCCTATTGTAGCTTATAGCTACTCTTATAGTTTGCAAATTAATTGTTAGGCAATACAAATAAGAAACAATAAATTTACCTGTACCACTCTGCAAGCCAAGATCGGGCATTTGGTCTCATAAGCACCTTGGTCATTTTGTCACTAATGGACAAAATAAAAAGTCCTACAGCAGCGACTGTCTTTCTTTTTTGTTTTTTTATTGCCAGTGTGTTTCCAAGCAATGTGTGACGTCGTGATGGTGTGTCCCATTTTTCCTTTTACACCATTTCAAGCCCTTATTAACTCACACATTCAAGCCCTGTAGCTGTGCACACAGGTGACATATGTCATAACATAAATTGTAAAATTAGAGCTAAAATGACTAAAGTTTCCCTGCGATGGACTGGCGACCTGTCCAGGGTGTACCCCGCCTTTCGCCCAATGTACGTATGGATGGATGACTAAAGTCTAAGCTTTACGATAGGCTCATTCAGAAACATAGATTTTTCTAACATTGTAAAACACCACAACCACGAGAGGTCTGGAGGATTCAGTCATGAATGTGCACAGAAAATATTAGGCTGATGGGTCCAGTAGTATGCAGATCAGCTGCGGAGAGATATACACACACCCAACAAATGATCTCATCCAGGTTTTTGCATGGTGGAGATAACTATTTACACATATTTGAACCAAATATTGACGGGCACAACTGCCCTGATGGAATATGTAGCAGTCACTGCAGCCGGTTTGAGGGGTGTACTCACGTCTGTTGCCAGCGGTTTAGACATTAATGGCTGTGTGATGTGTTATTTTGAGGGGACAGCAAATTTACACTGTTATACAAGCTGCACACTCACTACTTTATATTGTAGCAAAGTGTCACTCACTCACTGGCTACTTTATTAGGTACACCAGTACACAAATAGCTAATCAGCCAATCTCAGCCAAGCAGCAGCTCAACAATAGGCATGTAGTTGTGGTTACTGAAAACTTGCTGAAGTTCAAACTGAGCATCAGAGTGGGGAAGAAAGGACATTTAAGTGACTTTGAACGCATGGATGTTGGTGCCAGATGGGCTGGTCCGAGTATTTCAGAAACTGCTGATCTACTCACAACCATCTCTAGGGTTTTCAGAGAATGGTCTGAAAAAGAGAAAATACAAGGTAGATTTATTTTGTCACATTACAACAGGTTGTGAAGTGAAACTCAGTTTGTAACTCCCTTCTGCTACGTAGCAGACAATATAGTAATATAAATAGTAATATAAAAAAAACATTTTAAAATGGTAAACAGAAATAAACTATATTAAATGGAGCAGTGCTGACAATGAATTAAAGCTTAAAAGTCTGATATCTTGGGGGAAAAAGCTGCTCTGCAGTCTGGTGGTGCGGCAGCAGAAACTTCTATATCTCTTCCCAGAAGGCAGCAGGGTGAACAGGCTGTGGCTGGGTGGGTACTGTCCTTTAGTATCCTTTGGGCTCTGCAGACACCTCACCTCACCGATAACACTGATGCTCAGGAGATGCCAATGATCTTCTGAGCAGTTTGAATCACCCGCTGCAGAGCCCTCCGGTCCTGGGCCGTGTACATCCCATGTTAGTGATGTTTCCAGTCAGGATGATTTCTATTGCTCCTCTGTAAAGGTGAACAAAAACTTGGCACAGGAATTTAGACTTCTTAAGCTTCCTCAAGAAATACAGGATCAGCTCCTTGGTTTTGCTGACGTTGAGCAGTAGGTTGTTCTCTGAGCACCACTCTGCAAGATTATGAATTTCCTCCCGATATGAAGTCTCATCGTTGTTTGAAATCCAGCTGATGATGGTGGTGTCATACACAAACTTCACAACAGAGTTCTCTCCATGTTGGGGGATGCAGTTGTGGGTGTACAGTGTGGACAGGAGGGGGCTGAGCACACAGCCCTGGGGGGCTCCGGTGAAGAGCACTAAAGTGGAGGAGGTGAGTCCGCCAATCTGAACTGGGGTCTGTTTGTGAGGAAGTCCAATATCCAGTTGCAGAGTGTTGTATTTAAACAGAGAGCTGAGTTTGCTGATCAGTTTCATGGGGAGATTGTGTTGAATGCTGAGCTGAAATCCACAAACAGCATTCTGATGTATGTGTGTGAGGGCTGAGTGGAGGGCAGTGGAGATGGCATCCTCTGTGGATCTGTTGGTTCTGAAAGCAAACTGGTGAGGGTCCAGGCTGGCTGGGGGGATGTTCTTTATGTGCTGAAGAACCAGTTTCTCAAAGCACTTCATCAGAATGGGGGTGAGAGTTCAGACTAGACACTGCAGACCTTTTAGGTACAGGAATGATGGTGGCTGTCTTGAAGCAGGTGGGAACCCTCTCCTGAGACTGTGAGATGTTGAAAATGTCAGTAATAACATCAACTAGCTGATTGGCTCAGGTTTTTAGTACACGGCCAGTCATGTTTTCAAGCCCAGCAGCTTTATTCATATTCACCACATCATCAACACATTTGCTGATGTAAGATGTCAATGATGATGTATACTCCTCAAGGTTGATGTAGCTCTCCTCGGTGGCAGCCTCTCTGAACACGCTCCAATCCGTTATGGCAGAACAGTCATGCAGAGCTGCTGTAGCCTCATCTGTCCACACTGTTTTAATTGTTGGCTTGACCCTTTTAATCAGCTGGGTGTAAGTGGGCTGAAGAAGCACAGAAACAACTGATAAACCAAAATGGGGATGGAGCAGGGCTTTGTAGCTCATACTGTTTTTGTAGTGCATATTTTAATTAATTAATTTATTTTATTTGCATCTGGAGGAATGTAAACAGCAACGACAAAAACACTGGAGAATTCTCTGGGCAGATAGTATGGCTGATTTCTCAACATTAAAAATTCTACATCTGATAAACATTGTCCATCCACTTAGAGCAACAAGCATCATGTATATAGACACACAGTCCTCCACTTGTTTTACCGAACTCTAGTGTCCTGTCTGTGCGGAATAAACTCCTCCTGTCAAGTATGACAGCTTCCTCTGGTTCGCTGCTGTGCAGCCAGGTCTCTGTGAAGATGAGGGTACAGCAGTCTCTGCTTTCCTATTCCTGTTCAGTCCAGTCCCCGCACTTTCTATTTCAATATTGATCAATGTATTTTTGTTGTAGGTGATCATAATTAGACATTTTTACGTAAAGAAGAATAAGGAGAAAAAAAAGATTAAAAACAAAAATGTAGCAAAAATTAAGGGAGCTACTGGTCGCACTTGATCATCAAAATATCCAGTGAGCTGCAATTTTTGTGGAAAAAATGCCTTCTTCATGTCAGAGGTCAGAGGAGAATGGGCAGACTGGTTTGAGATGACAGAAAGGCAACATTAACTCAGATAACCACTCGTTACAATCAAGGTATGCAGAATACCATCTCTGAACGCACAACATGTGGAACCTTGAAGAAGAACAGGAAAATGAGGCTACAACTCACAAATTCTCTTCTAGGTAGAATAGAACCCCAAATACTTCAACCAACTAGCCAGCAATGATAATTTTGGTTTATTAATTAAATAATTAATCAGAGTTACAAATTGATCTTTTTGTATATTGTGAGAGTAAGATGGAATAATAATTTAGAGAACTTTCCAACCCACCTTGTTTGTATTTAGGAGCTGAGTGTTTGCTTTAGTGATTTCTTCATTTCCAAGGGGTGATGCAGTTATGCACTTTTATAATAGATTTTGTGTGCATCATTTTCATTGAAGTATAAACACACATGACTAGGCTCTGACCTGATGTGTGTCCCTCTGTTTCTGTCTCTGAGTGAGACCCTGAAGAGGAGGTGGACGAATCACTGCTGGTAGTACTGCTGTCCCTCCTGGATGAGCGAAGAGGGAAACAGTTGAGCAGCACCGCTTCCTCATCTGATGAAGACGATGATGCTGTTGAACTCTCCTCTGGCTCTGAACTCAAATCCAGCTCCTGTGAGACACACATGTTGGTTTACAATTATGTGAACTGCTCAAAGGCCAACATGTTAACTTCTGCCAAAACACCAGTTTCATGCATCACGCTTCATTTAGTGCACACGAGAACTATCACAACAGATCACAAGAGTCTTCATATCTGAAGAAGCAATACAGAATACAAAACACTAAATGCATTTATATATTTATTGAGTTACAAGACATTATATTTTTTTCTTGTCTGGGATTTCTGACAGGAAACAATAAGAACTACAAGTGTTTGATACATGGCTTTGATTAAAATAATAAAAAATATGGTAACACACTGTTTTGGAGTAGTGGTTGGTTTAGTTATGGCTTCTATATGTCGTGATACAACCTTGGTTCTGCAATGAGGTGGTTGTATGGGACAAAAAACAGGAGACCCAGGAGACCAGTGTCAACATTGATTCCTTTTGGTAATGTTACATAACTTATGTCACTTACAGAAGTAGCGTTACTTAACTAAGTAACGTAGTTATTGTAAGCCAAACCATGATCTGTTGCTAAACCTAACCAAGTAGTTCTGGTGCATAAACCTAACCAAACTGCGACATTTCATAATGTTAAACATTAGTTTTATTTTTGAAGTCCAGCCAGACGTTGCATAGTTATTCTTGCTAACTTGACCGCAGAGCCCTACACATACAAAAACGACACTAAAGGACAGTAACGGACTGGGATCAATTCAACGGCCCTGGCATTTGCAACACATTAAATAGATAATTTTATTGAAAAACTACGTACAGCCCCTTTAAGTTTATTTTGAAAGGGACTCTGTACAGCGGCTTCACCCAATGCAGAGAGACTCTGTAGATGTTTTGGAACATTGTGTTACCTGCCACTATGTTGTCCTGTAGTTCTGAGAGTCATTTCAGTTATTTGAAATGACCACATATACAATGTGGATGATGTGCTCAACTTGCATCAGAAACAGAAACAAATCCAGTCGCAGACCACCAAACTGATGCAGGATGCAGCAGAATAAAGCTCTCCACACCAGGTCTGTCGGCCCAGTGAGTAGTCTCTAGATAAACTGAATACTGAAGGCAGAGCCTTTACTAGCCAGATGGACCAGACCCTGTCCACTCTACTCCATAGAAAGGATCAGGACACTCTAAAGGTACCCAGTGCAACCTGTCCCAGAAGAAATCAACTACAAACCTTTGTTTCTGTGACAGAAGAGAAGCTGGGGAATCAATACAAGCCAACCAGTGCCACAGAGCACAGGAGATTATTGATTACAAGAGTACGACCTCTGTAGGATATTTTAGATAAATGCCATTTCCATTTCATTTGCTGATCCCTAACTTTTTCTAAGACTTTGTACCAGTTTTTCAGTTGAAACTTTTCATTGCCCTGAAAAACTCCCAGATATTTTCCTTTTTTTCAGACCAAACCTCCAGGTAACCCGAGCCAATCCCTTAGCCTTTTAGAATCAGAAGCAGAAGCACAAAAAGCTTTATTGCCAAGTAGTTTTTTACATGTACAAGGAATATGCTTTAGTGAGTAGGTGCCAGACATATACTATTATATAATCTGTGCAATGTGGTAGTTATTTACATGTGCAGTTTGGTCAGATTTTGCCCCACTATGCCAGCCTCACTCTTCCCCCAGTTTATTTCTGCCAAAGATATGCAACCAAACAGGGGTGTGTTTCCCGTACAACCACGGAAGGTAGCATTGAACTGTCTTGGTATGATGCATCGTTAAACTAACAAACATCTGAAGTAGGTACCACCGTGGTTTGGACTAACTTAGTTGGAACCAACATAGTTCAAACAAACATGTTTCCAGGTGTGTTCGTCTGACTTTCACAGCACGAAACTCACAAAACGTTGTCATATTCTGCCTAAATATGTCAGCTGTGACTGATATTAAGTGACATTATTATGCTAACTTATTATTTAGGCTTTTATATTATAGTCATACCGGAAATAACAAGAAAATCAACAATAGTATTAATGAAATCAGCAATATAAATAATATATAACCTAATAATCTTATTTAGCCATAAAGTATCTACATATAGTCTATAACTTAGAAGAAAAAATTAAGAACTATTAGCGATTACAAGATGTTTAGTAAAATAAGTGATTTGCAAGCATATTCGTGTCAACACTTTAACACTATTATGAATCCCTTGGCCGCAACTGATATTTATGTCTTGAGAATAGCTCAGTGCTATAAGTGTCTGAGCTTATGTATGTTCTCTATTGAGACAGACCCGGGTTTGACTCCCGTGAGTTGACTCTATTTTACTTTGTTATAAAGGCAACGAAAACTAGCAGGGATTTATTCATTATAGTATTTTCATGGATTGTATGCTGTCCCTTTTTTAATATATTTGTTATATATATATATGTCTCTCAGAGGCCTGGAAATGTATACATTAAGGTACTATTAAAAGTCTGGTTTTTACATTCTCAGTCTTGTTCTTTAACCTTTGTACTGGGTGACTAATATTAAATTAAGTTATTGTGAACAGATGGGTCATCTGTGAGAAAAACACCTGTGTTATTCGTAGATGGTCTACAGATGGGCTACTTAGTACTGAAATAATGCAACCCTACCCATGACCCGACAAATACATTTACTACATTCTTCACCTTTAAATATGTTTGTACAGCCTGAGTTTGAGACTGAGTGAGTGTGTTTTGATTTGTTTTTTCCCTTTGGGTTAGTGAGGCATGCTTGGTGTTGCCACTCGACGAGCTCGTCAGTCGTTATGTGTGAACTACACAACGATGCATCAAAACGGCTCCCCAACACATTTCTGACACATCGCCGACGTCTGCCAGATATCTAGCATGCCAAATATCTGGAGGAGTCGGTCTTTATAACTGCCATCTTTATAATAACAAACAACAGCTGTTTCGTGTGAAGGTTCGCGTCATTTCCCGTTTCACATTTCATGTGTGTTTTCTTGTCAAAACGTGGTTTGGAGACCAGCGTCTGGTGACACAGCCACTGTCAGCTCATGTAGTGTGTGACCCCCTGTCACCGATCAGTCATGTAGTGTGAACGCCACAACGGCTTCAAGACTCCCGTCCCAAGACGGCAAGTTGTGTAGTGTAGCCGCTGCTGAAAGTCGTGTAGTCTGCACGAGCCTTTAGAGTCCTGGGTGTGTCTGGCTTTGTGGCTTGGCACAAGCTGCATCTGTTGGTTATCACTCACCTGTTCCTGACCAGCCACTTCTTAAGGAGAGGCCAGAAAGATTTCCCATTCAACCCGCTCAGCCTGCCTGCCAGTTCCAAACCCCGAGAGCTGCTAGAAGATCCAACCCTTCCAGGCACTCTCCAGCCAGCCCCAGCCCTTACTCCCCTGCTGCTTGAAAGGAACCTCCCTGTGACCTCACCCTGCCTTAATTTACCCATTAACCCTCATCAATAAACTGTTTAAACTACTGCTTTGTCTGCTGGTCTGCATCTGGGTTCTAGCATATTCCTGACAGCACCACTCAGATTATTTCTCAGTTTATGGAGCAGAGGCTCAATGGCCAGAGAGTAGAGCATGCTGGACAGACAGCAGCCTTGTCTAACCCCCCTCTGAACAATGGAAGGAGCACTCAGACCACCACTGATTTTTCAGTTTTCACTCGCAATGCCACTATACAGAACCTGGATCTTGGCTATGAAACCTGGGCTGAACCCAAAAGCAGTAAAGTTTGCCATAGATACCAGTGTTTAATCCTGTCAAAAGCCTTTTCCTGGTGTCCACAGCCAATGAGCTAGAGACATCCAAAACATCCTAAATGAAAGTGACATTGTCGCTTGTAAGCCTGCCAGGCACACAGTATGTCTGATCAATGTGAATAACAGAAGCCATCACCTCTGAGAGTCTGGTGGCCAGGGTCTTTTTTACAGTATTTTATAGTCTGTGCAGAACAGAGAGATTGGTCTTCAGTTCTTCAGCTCCTGCAGCTCAGATGCAACCGACCTCCCTGTTTGTGTCAACCCCCAACAAGACTTTACCCAACAAAAAAACAACAGGAAGGCAGTCTATTCTAACCTGTGAGATCATCAGCGTAATATAAAGATAATTAATGGATAAAGGAGCCTCCAGCTTCGCATTGGCCTCAGCATCCACCTGCAGTGAAGAAGCTGCTGCACACACCTGGATTTTCTGTTAGCTCACATGTAAACAAATCTTTATAATAACTGACATTGTAGAGCCACTGTCACATCGCAGAACGTGATCAATCTTTCTCTGTCCATATTTCCTCTCACAACAAAAAAAAGGAACTGAGAGGGGGATCCATCTGTGTGACGTCGAGGAAATGTGAGCAGTCCAGAGCTCCCTGTGCTGCAATGCCCAGCAGGTTGGCTAGAGCTAACTTTTGAGGTTTGATGAAGTCCAAAAGCCCTCAATCTCTACAATCTACTAAACCTTGTCGTTCTACCATCTGAGTCTGTAGGTACCTTATAGATCTGGTAACATCTCTAAGAACATTGGTCACATCTCATGTGACACAGCTGTTTAATCTGGAATTTACCAAAATCCCACCACTGTTGGACCCAGGTAAAGTTAGATTTACATTTTCTGTGGTAAAACCAAAACTATTCAAAAGCTGCTCTAAAAGCCATGTCATGAAGCAAGGCAGTGTTAAACTGACATTTTTTACATTTAAACATTAAAAACTAGGTTAACGGTTTCATACTGTCCTTTAACCTTCAACAAACCTCCCTCAATAATTTAACAGGAAGAAGGCAAGGAACTCCCGGAAAACCCAGTTCCCACTCCTCCACTACAGCTTGACGTATGGCTCCAAATGGCTTCCCCATTTCATCCCCTCCTCCAGTCACTTTTAATATTGTGTGCTTCTTATCTAATACATGTATTTTCTCTGCTTAAACAAAGCAGTTCTTTTCATATTATGGCTAGCTCCATTTAAATTCAAAGTGCCTATTTGTAGTCACCTACTGTAAGTAGAAAAAGAAGCTTGAGAAGAAAACAAGAGAAACACCTAAGAGGAAA